CCAGTCAGTGCCGCCTAACAGTGCCAGTCAGTGCCGCCTAACAGTGCCGCCTATCAGTGCCATATGAGTGCTGCCTTTCCGTGCCCATCAGTGATGCCTGTCATTGCCCATCAGTGCCACCTATCAGTGTCCATCAGTGCCCATCACTGCAGCCTCATTAGCGCACATCAGTGAAGGAGAAAAATCACTTATTTACAAAATGATATAACAAAAACTAAGAAAAAATGTTTGGTTTTTTTTCAAAATTTTCAGTGGTTTTTGGTTTAAGAAAAAATAAAAAAACCCAGAGGTGATTAAATACCACCAAAAGAAAGCTCTATCTGTCACAAAAAAATGATAAAAATGTCATATTGGTACAGTGTTGCATGACCGCGCAATTGTCATTCAAAGTGTGACAGCGCTGAAAGCTGGAAATTGGCCTGGGCAGGAAGGGGGTAGAAGTGCCCTGTAGGCTAGTAATTGTTTGAAAGTCTTTCATCAATTGCTCACGGTACAGCTGAGGGACATATTTAAGGCCCGCAGCTGTCCACGCCACAAAGCCCTTCAGTTTCGGGTTCCGGGTAGTTATGGTTATTGAATGTGATAAAGCCTTGATATTGGAAATATTTCGTCTTGCTCCATGCTCTGTCAATCAGTGCCAGAATGGGAAACTGTGCTAGGGCTTTAAACTCACCTGCTTCCAGGCATTCCACCAAATTATCTGTGGACAGGGTCCCTAGAAGAAAGCAAGAGCTGAACGGGTCTGGGTGTGTATTATCCTGCCAGGGTGTAAAAGTGTTGTAGCTGGGCCGCAATATAATAAAGAAAGGGGTTGGGAACCGGAAGGCCTCCCATATCCTTCCTGTAGAGTTTCTGGTTTAATCCAAGGTGTGTGCATCCACCAGATTAGGTGTGAAACACAGTATCAGATCTTTTAAAGATCCGTATAGGAATGCAAACGGGCATTGTGCAGAATATAAAGAAATTGAGGGGCCCATATCATTTTGATTAAGTTACATCTCCCTACCACGGAAAAGAGGGAGTTTAGTCCAGCTAGTTTTTTGTTGGAATTTTTTAATTAACGGAAGTAAGTTTAGGTCTGTATATTTCGATAGAGTGGATTGAATGATAATACCCAGATATTTAAAGGAGTCCACTATTTCAATCTGCGCAGCTTCAGCTGGTATAGGATGCGTAAGGGTGTCCAGCGGGAGAAGGGTGGATTTATCCCAGTTTATTGAGAAGCCGCCAAATTTAGTGATTAATGTCATTAGGCATCTCAACAGAAGGGTGTCATTGGCATATAACGCTACTTTCTCCATCGGTTCCCTACAAAAACCAACAATACCTGGATCTTCTCTAATGGCAGCCGCTAGAGGTTCTATCGCTAAAGCGAATAACAGCAGGGAAAGAGGACAGCCCTTCTGTGTCCCTCTTCCTAGTGTGAATGAGGAGGATTTAGAGCATTATAAACCCAAATATGGGCCGACGGGGCACGATATAATAATTGAATCCAAGAAATTAAGGTGTCCCCAGGGTAAACTTTGCAAGGACTAGCCAAAGGTACCTCCATTCTACACACTGTCAAATGCTTTAGCAGCGTCGAGTGACAAAATTGCCCTGTCACCCAAATTGTCAGAAGGGATTTGAAGGTTAAGAGAGCCTACGAATATTGATTGCCGTAGATCTGTTTGGGAATGAAAACGTGGACTGATCTGGTCGCCAGTACTTTAGTACTAATTTTGAGGTCTGGAGTCAATAGCGATAGGGGACAGTAAGACTCCATCACTAATGTGTCCTTTCCCCGGCTTCAAAAGTACAACTGTTATTGCCTCATACATGGAGGCAGGCAGGAAGTTCTGTTCCAATGCCACCTGGAGTATTTTAAGTAGCTCAGGTAGAAGTATTCCACCAAAAGATTTGTAAATTTCCATTGGCAGCCCATTTCCACCGGGAGCTTTGAGATTGGGATATGAAGCTACAGCCATCTGCAATTCTTCAAGAGTGAGTGGTGCATTACCTCCCTAGCGGTCTGATTATATCCATATTTCTGTGCTCAAAGTGGTACATTTTTTGCATGGAAATATGTATTTTTTTTTTTATTGTAGGCCTGTAATTTTTAGGAATAACTCACTGAAATCTGTCCGAGCAAGACTCTAGTAAACATCCTGGGTATGTTACAATTTGAAACACGAAATCATAAATTATAATTTAATAAATAATCATAAAAATAATAAATAAAATTTAATTAAATAATATAATCAAACCAAAAACACTGAAATTTGAAATATAGCGCCAAGTTTGCACATCACTGAGCAAAATCGTTTTCAGTGTCTGATGATGAATTTCCCCATGAATCATCACTCAATTCTGCAAACTTGCCAAGTTTAACCACTAGTTCCTTTTGGCGGTCTTTAGATGAGCACTGAGGGAGCGGGTCTCCGCCATGTTGGACAGGCTGCGATGCGGCATCCCCCTCTTCCGTTTTTCCTTGTCATGTTCTTAGCGCTGTGGAGTAGCGGAGGCAGAGACAGGATGTCAACCAGAGCTGTGCTGTCGGTGACCCAGATAAATGCGGCCCAAATGGAGGATTTTGGCAGAGCTGTGCAGGAACCCGACCGCTGACATGGACGGCTAAGCCCCACCCCCGTAGCGGGTTTCTGAAACACATGGCAAAGTGTGCATTTTCTGTATTTTTGGAAATACACAGATGTGAATGGAGCCCCATTGTTCTGTGTAAATGCACAAATTTCACTTTCAGGCAATAACACCCAGAGTAGAGGGAACGCTTGTTTTTGGCTTGTTTTTCCAGTGACACACATAGGACAGCCTGTTGATTACAATGGGCTGCGCTACACGTGGCAAAATGGGACATTTTAGCATGATCCATGTTGCACATTTTTTACTGCGCATTTTGCTGCATTTGGCACCCCTTTTTGTTTTTTTATGTGGCAAAACGTGCTTGTTTCTGTGTTTGCTGTACCATTAATAATTACACTAAAAGCGCAACTAGGTACTTTTATGTGTATAAGGGTGGTCATACACTATACAATCTGTACGATCTCCTTTAGATTTACCAAAATTACACTATATTGCCAAAAGTATTGGGCCAGCCCTCCAAATCATTGGATTCAGGTGTTCCAATCACATCCATGGTCACACTGGTGTATAAAATCAAGCCCCTAGGCATGCAGACTGCTTCTACAAACATTTGTGAAAAAAATAGGTCGCTCTCAGGAGCTCAGTGAATTCAAGTGTGGTACCATAATAGGTTGCCCCTATGCAATAATTCCATCCATGAAATTTCCTTGCTACTAAATATTCCACGTTCAGCCTTTGGTGGTATTGTAACAAAGTGGAAGCAACTGGGAACAACAGCAACTCGGCCACGAATGTGGTAGGCCATATAAAATGACAGAGCGGGGTCAGCGCATGCTGACGTGCACAGTGCGCAGAAGTGGCCAACTGTCTGCAGAGTCAATAGCTAAAGACCTTCAAACTTCATGTGGCCTTCAGATTAGCACAACAGTGTGTAGACAGCTTCATGGAATGGGTTTCCATGGCCGAGCAGCTGCATCCAAGCCTTACATCACCAAGTGCAAAGCGTCAGATGCATTGGTGTAAAGCATGCCACCACTGGACTCTAGACCAGTGGAGATGTGTTCTCTGGAGTGACGAATCACACTTCTCTGTCTGGCAATCCGATGGACGTGTCTGGGTTTGGCGGTTGCCAGGAGAATAGTACTTGACTGACTGCATTGTTCCAGGTGTAAAGTTTTGGTGTAGGGGGGGATTAAGGTGTGGGGTTGTTTATCAGGGATTGGGCTTGGCCCCTTAGTTCAGTGAAGGGAACTCTTATGGCATCAGCATACCAAGACATATTGGACAATTTCATGCTCCCAACTTTGTGGGAAGAGTTTGGGGATGGCCCCTTCCTGTTCCAACATGACTTCGCACCAGTACCAAAATCAAGTTCCATAAAGACATGGATGAGCAAATCGTGGTGGAGGAACTTGACTGGTCTATCGGGGTGAGGTCAGGACTCTTTAGAACACCTTTGGGATGAATTGGAGTGGAGACTGCAAGCCAGACCTTCTTGTCTGACATCAGTGCCTGACCTCACAAATGTACTCCTGGAAGAATGGTCAAACATTCCCATAGACACACTCCTAAACCTTGTGGACAGCCTTCCCAGAAGAGTTGAAGCTGTTATAGCTGCAAGGGGTGGGCCAACTCAATATTGAACTCTACGGACTAAGACTGGGATGCATTTAAAGTTTATTTGCATGTATAGTCAGGCGTCCCAATACTTTTGACAATATAGTGTATATAATAGGAGGACACAGCATCTATCCAATATCTTGGCCTGAGCCCGTATGTAGAGTCGATGGGGTAGCCAGGCAAATGCATGAGGGGAGAGATCTAGGGGATGCTGTGAAAAAATAGTTGATGGGTGAAGGGTGTGTACTAATGAGGTCAGTGCAGGATGTGTGTGCTAATGAGATCAGCTGGTACAATACTTCCAGGGTCCTATTGGCTCCTCTGTCTATATTCCAGGAACTGAAAAAGCTTTCTAAGAAATTTACCAAAGGATACGGTAAGGCCCTGCTCTCCAGATCAAAATGAGCTTGTATATATTTGCAACTGAGGTACATTAGTTGTATATTGGTGCATAGGGTAGCTGGATTTTATTAAAAAAAAAAAAGTGAACTTAGCCCTTATGTACACGAGCCGGTGGGCTTTGAAAAATCTACAATTTCTCAGATAAGATTTGCCTTTTACACATTTCTCAAGTTAACACAGTTGATCAATTCTCTTGCTGTTTGATGCTAATGAGGCAATTAATTAGAAGCTGGATCTCAGTGGATGGACAAGCATATTGCAGTGAAAGACTTGACCAACTATCTGACAGCTCCATTTTAATTGGTTTACACACCCTCCAAGTTTGAAGTGTGAAATGTAAGTGTTGTAAGTAATCTAATTTAAACTATTACCTGATATTTTATTTATTTGTTTTTCAGCTTTGCAGAATGGGATATGGTTAACTGGACAAATACAAGAGCAACATTTGTTTTTCTGTATGATTCTCTGGAAATTACCATCATGTTTGGAGATGAGATTGGTAAGTGTTCTATTGAAATCTTTAAAAAAAAAAACCCAAAAAAACAATGCTTTGCTGAAGGGTTTTTTTTGGGAGCAAGTGTTTGGTCATCAGAACTAGGCCCCTCTTCACTGTTGACAGCACATATGTCTACCTCAGCCCATTCAAATTCTTTCAAATTATCTTAATGGAGGTGTTGTCTTGGAGTAGATATGGAAAAATAATGGGTTAAGAGCAAGAAACAACCAGTAATCAAATCTGCCAGTGTGTCAGATCTTGCAGGTGGCAACTGTGAAATGTTTGCAGACTCTTGACCAAGTTTCAACAAAGCATGTTGAAAATTGACACATTTCTTAGGTGTGCAGTGCAAGATATAGGATCTTTATTCTTAACCATGGGCTTTGCTTCCATCTTCATGAGATTGGGCCCTTCTGATTTGGAAGGGCACAGCTATAGTTGCTCAGCAAACCTTTTCAGTAGATCGCCTAAGGGCTTGTCTCTGTTCCCCAGGAGAATAGATGCTCTGCCAAACCACATGGGGCAATGGAGAGTCTTATACGGCTTGGTTGCTACAGCCAGCAGGCTAAGAGGGATCATAACCATACCCTGCACCCACATGAGGCCTGTAATGCAGCTGATCAGCTCTGGATCCTTTGCAGTCCTATCCAAAATGCTCTACATGCTCATGGGCAGTTATTCCCACTTCGAAAGGGAATTGAGTCTGAGAGTACTGCAGGGCATGCCTGCAGAATGGGTGAAGATTGAGCCCATCAGCCTTGCTGCCTGGGGTGGGCGAGTATCTCCTTACTAGTAGGCAAAAGTGTCCATTTTCCCTGCAGTGTACTGTCTAGTTTTCTTGTAGAGAAATTATAGAGCATTGTGGACAGTCTGGTGCCGTGCACGATGACAACTTTGCACTTGTCTGTGAGCTTTTACTGATGTGTTCTTGCAGCTCAGAACAGCCCGAGTTTCAGTGCAGAGCATGACAACTTCAGCACAGACCAAGTATTGGGGACATTTGACTACAGGGAGTGACTACCTACACAGCTGTCAGCTGGGTTGCTCAGCCCTTGCAGTGTAACTGGCCTATAATTCTTCAGTAAGACATGACCTTGCACAGGAGGCGAGTATGAAAGGGAAATGGGATGCGCTCCCAAATTCCTCAATCAGGCAGGCGGGATTCCACTACACAGTTTGCCCTGTAATGGCTTCTTAAAGGATAAGCTTGGTTCTGAATTCCTGCCGTATTTCCACTCTTCCAGGGGCACAATTTTTTGTTTCCTTTGGGTCAGGGGAGGAATTCTCCACAGCCAATTTTAGTCTGTGTGATCAGCTCTCAGGTTTTTACTGGCTTTAGGATTGTTTAGGCCCTGGATTATTCACATTGTGGGGTATTTGGACAGCCTTTTTCTCAGAAAGCCGTTGGCTTATAAAATGTCCAGCAGTTTACATAAAATGTCCAGCAGACAGCACAGGTCTTAAAAGGTTTGGCTGGGTGCCGAACCTTCAAAACTCGGCCTCTGTACTGGCACAGCATCAGGAGCATTTAGACTTCATCCATGGCACAGGTGAAGGTACTTCTTCCGCAGGAAAAATGCAGACCTTTTGATGTAGTCCCCTAAGTCCACTTTCACTCCAGAGCTCTGCAGCTTAATATCCTGTTGAACTCAAAAATCACGAGTCCTGGGTTCTGCCATTGCATCCTACTCCCAAGACAAGGTTGGCACATTCCCCTACTGAAGCACAGAGGAGAAAACCTGTTCAGGATTCATAGTTGTCTGAGGAGCAGAATTGCTGATCAGCATCCTAGAAGTTCAGCTGGCTCTCCTACACTGGTTTGCCCACCTTCGGGGTTTCCCTGTCATGGTGCAGTCACAGTGCCACAGCTATAGCATACATCAGGTGTCTAGAAGGGACAAGATGTCACGCTGCTTAGGAACAAGTGGACCTGATCCTCTCTTGGGCAGAACTTCCAGCGCTCTCTGAGTCGTACAAATTTCTGGTGAGCAAAATTGGTAGACTTCCTCAGCCATCAGCAGCTGAATATGGGAGAATAGGACCTTCATCCAGAGGTGTACACAAAGATTTGCTTGTGCTGACAAACACCTAACATTTATAGGTAAAGTTGATTAAGGGAATATCCAATTGCCTCTCAGGGGATCAGGAAGGAAACTTTTTACCTGCAGGAGCAAATTGGATCATGCTTTGCTCGGTTTTTTGCCTTCCTCTAGATCAACTGTGGGTATAGGATTATAACTTTTTTTTTTTTTTTAATGGTTGAACTGGATGGACTTTTGTCTTTTTTCAGCCAGACTAACTATGTAACCTACACACAAAAAAAAGCACAAAAATTAAATAAATAAAAATAATCACAAATAAATGTCCGTGCAAAAATATATATATAATATTTCAAACATAAGTCCTTATTTTCCCAAAAGGATTTTCAAAACAATGTTCCAAAATGTGCTTCCACCTAATCACCATGTGAAAAATAATATTGACCGCACTCACCAGATGGAGGTGAGTAATAAGCCTCATAGGATATAAGGGATCCTATAGCCCCTCAGGAGGAACTCAAATCGCCTTCTTCACCCTGCTTAGATACAGCAATCGACTCCACTCTACTTCTCCATGGAATCCTCAATAGTGTGCAAGGAAAAAAAGGCTACATAGTGTAATACTGCCACTCAATACCATATAAATCGATAGAATAAGGACACTCACATGTTTCAATAAAATAACAGGCCTTGTTTAATAGCCTCAAAGGCTTCAAAGGAACAAGTTTCCAAATTGTAAATATAGGGATCTCACGCTTTTAGGATCACTGTAGAGGATGACCAGCTTTCCACCACTCAAAAATGGCTGCTTGAAACGCAAAAGTCGGCGTGCGTTCCAAATACTGGAAGTGACGTAGGCCAAGAAGACGGCAGACCGGAAGTGCGTCAATGCGTTTCACCCCACCCACAGGGCATTTTCAAGCTTTTACTTGAACTTGGAACGCACGCCGACTTTTGCAGTTCAAGCAGCCATTTTTGAGGTGGAAAGCTGGTCATCCTCTACAGTGATCCTAAAAGCGTGAGATCCCTATATTTACAATTTGGAAACTTGTTCCTTTGAAGCCTTTGAGGCTATTAAACAAGGCCTGTTATTTTATTGAAACATGTGAGTGTCCTTATTCTATCAATTTTATATGGTATTGAGTGGCAGTATTACACTATGTAGCCTTTCTTTCCTTGCACACTATTGAGGATTCCATGGAGACGTAGAGTGGAGTCGATTGCTGTATCTAAGCAGGGTGAAGGCGATTTGAGTTCCTCCTGAGGGGCTATAGGATCCCTTATATCCTATGAGGCTTATTACTCACCTCCATCTGGTGAGTGCGGTCAATATTATTTTTCACGTGGTGATTAGGTGGAAGCACATTTTGGAACATTGTTTTGAAAATCCTTTTGGGAAAATAAGGACTTATGTTTGAAATATTATATATATATATTTTTGCACGGACATTTATTTGTGATTATTTTTATTTATTTAATTTTTGCGCTGTTTTTTGTGTTTATTATTGGTGGTTTTCACTGGTGCACAGCTGCATAATTGTATACTTTCTTTGATTGGCGCTGGGATTTTTTAGTTAACTATGTAACCTGATATGGATCTTTTGGTGTCAAGAGTCAACAGCATACTGGACAGGTTAGTGTGCTAAGCCAGGGATTCTAAAGTGTAGATGCCCTGGTGACTTCTTGGGATCAATTTTGACTTATTTATCACCACTGCAGCTTCTTCCTCACCTGTTACTCAGAATAAAGGTGGAAGGCATTCCAGTGTTTCTATAATAAACATAATCATGTTTAGGTCTATTTTAAAAACTATAGGTGGAACCCACACTAGCAGCTAGCACAATATTGCAGGTTACAATGCATAAAACATAAATTGATAAGTGCAGCGCTAGGAAAAAAATATAAATATGCTTTTCCATGAAAAAGAGAGTCCAATCTAAAAATGTCAAATATATAATAAAAAGTCCAGCAGCAGAGAAACAGCATAGATCCAATAAGTGCCCAGGAGAAATCATTCACCAACACCAAACCCACTGTCCCTTTCCTGCCTTTTTTGTATTTCACACCTTAATTGAACTGATTTTGGACAATCCAGGCTAAAGAACCTGTGTCCTTTACAGTTTAGGATACAGATCCCTCCTCTCTAATTTCTTATGTCTCATGCTTATTGCTTGCTGACAAAACTGACATGTTGTACTAGTACCCAGTTTTGTGAAGGTGGCAGTATAACCCATGTTTGACTAAAGATCCTGTGGATGTACGCCTGCACAATTTTCTAATAATGACTTTTGCAGTTAGACCTATGCAAAAACCCAAACCTGACTGGTTATCTGGTTAACTTTAAATTAAATTTTTATGCATCAGTGACAGATGCGTGAAACATTATGGATTTACCTATGAATTTGGTCATTTGGGAGCTCTGTCATTAAATGAAGTTTAAAGAATATTACTCAAAACAGAATTATCTTCATTGTGTTAATATAATTTTATGTGCCTTTAACAGATGGGGAAAAGTTTAATAACCAGCCCTGCAGAATAATTTCTAGGGTAATTTTGACATCTCAGCTAAATGGTGAGTATAACCTTTCTTTGTTTTTTTACAATATATTCCTTTTTTTTTGTCCATTGAAGGACACAGGAAGTCTTTAACATTTTGGCTATATTGCTGCCTTCAGGAGCATTGGACATGGCAAACAAACTGTAGGACAGCCAAAGATAAAAACTACTACTACCAGCTTGCCCCAGGTTTGTGGTACTGGCCTAGGAGAATGGACTGCTTTTCTTTCGGTCTGCTGTGCCAACACTAACTTTTTTTTCTAGCACCTTTTTTCCCGCTTTACGCCACCTGACTCGCTACCAGTTGTCAGGGTTTCATCAGTATCTGCTATGTACCCGAAGTCTATATTTTGCCTGACCACCACAGTACTGCTCTGATCTTAGACATGGGGGCGAAGGAGGGAGATTTGGACAGTCTGTTGTACTAGGTGACTCCAGCTCACATTTTACAAAACTATTCGAGGGCTGCTTACAGCACCCTTTCTGAAAGTGAAACCATCTGTAGACTAAAACTGTTATCCTGTGATTTTAAAGTCTTTTTTGTGTTTGGAGTCCCCTTTGGTGTCCAGTTTTGGCAGGGCTCTCCCTCTTTGGCTGAGGCTACCTTAGTCATGCAAGATCTCATGACCCATATTACCAAGTTGTTTGTGGACTGTGATCAAAGGCCGCAAACCTGCTTATATGCCCTCACCTGCAAGTTCTGTATCTGACCTGCCCACGATCTTAGCCCAGCCTCTGAGCCATCTGCTGTAAAGACATTATGAATTGCTCCAGCCCCCTGAAACTGATTAACTTGCCTCTGAGAAGTTGCAGTCTACTAAATTAATATATACTGTTTTGACTACATACACACTGCTCAAAAGAATTAAAGGAACACTTTTTAATCAGAGTATAGCATCAAGTCATTTACACTCCTGGAATATTGATCTGGTAAGTTAAGTAGCAGAGGGAGTTGTTAAATCAGTTGCAGCTGCTTTGTTGTTAATGAAATTAACTTCTTCAGCCCCAGCCACTGCATATGTACGTTTGCAGGGCGGCACGGCTGCGCAAAACCACGTTTTAAAACCTGTTCTGCAAAACAGGTAGGGGGCGCACGCCCGCCCTACCTGTCCCGCGGTTGTCAGCAGCGGGTCTCCGCCGCCGGGTCACGGCCGGTCATTACCGGACGTTTCCCCGTGATGAGCGGTGTTCGCTGACAGAGAGCAGGGCTGCATTGTCTATACACAACCCTGCTATCTGTCAGTTGCCTGTCAGCTCGTGACAAGCTGAAGAGGGAGAGAAGAGTTTCTCTCTCTCTCGATCAGCCTGTCCCCATCCAGCACACACCCCCCCCCCCCCCCCCCCCCCCCCCCCCGCCCCCTAGTAAAATACTCCCCTCTCACAGTTAACACTAAAAATGTTAACCCCTTCCTCCCCAGTGCCATTAGTACAGTGTCATTGTGTTTTTTTTTTCACTGATCACTGTATTGGTGTCACTGGGGATGTCAGTGACCCCAAGGCAGTTCCCCCCCCCCCCCCCCCCAGTGTCAAAATGTCCGCCGCAGTCCCGCCATAAGTCGCTGATCACCACCATAAGTCGTTGATCGCCGCCATATGTCGCTGATCGCTGCCATTATTAGGATAAAAAAAATTAAAATGGCGGGAAAGATACTTTCCCGCCATTTTTAAACGCTATAACTTTCATGTAAACCAATTAATTTACACGTATTGGGATTTTTTTTTTTAGCAGACATGTCATAGAATGCATTTTGGATGAAATTTGTGACAAAATTATATATATATTTTTTTTTTTTTACTGGACATGTTTTATAGCAAAAAGTCCAAAATATGGTTTTTTTTTCCCTCAAAATTGTCAGCCTTTTTTTTTTATAGCGCAAAAAATTAAAACCGCCCAGGCGATCAAATACCACCAAAAGAAAGCTCAATTTGTGGGAAAAAAAGGATGTAAATTTAATTTGGGTGCAGTGTTGCATGACCGCGCAATTGTCAGTTAAAGTAACGCAGCCCCGTAACACAAACCTCTTCTGTAACCGCTTCCTGACCACCCTACAGCAGAAATACTGCTACAGGGCAGCATGGGTACACAAAATCACATATACGTGATTCGTGATTCGCGCTCCCATGGTTTTCACACCCCTCCCAGATAGCGTCAGATTGCCCGTCAGTACACCAATCATCACATTTAACCCCTTGATTGCCAGGAGCACGCTCATGTACAATAAACCTCCATTGCTAGTATAGTGTCTGAACGGGTCAATATCTTTGATCAGGTCAGCACTATACCAGCGTTCACATTAGTATAGCGTCCCCAAAAACGCAGCGTTAGCGGGATCAGCCCTGGCACCTGCCAACAGCTGCATTTAGCCCCTACGCTTACCCCCCCTTTCTCCCCCAGCAAGTGCAGTGTCAGTAGGTCACTGTCACTTTATACATTGCACACAAAACTGCAGTGTTTGCAGAATCAGGCCTGATCTCTGTTAGCACTTGCCGGTAAATTTTGATGACTCTTATATGCAGCAGAGTGCCAATACTAGTGCCGCTCTACCTTTTGGTGAACTGGCGAGTACCAGCGGTCTAGTACATCTTGGTCTTTCACATACCTTCTTGATTTTTGGAGCTGTTTTTCACGGAATATCTGTATGCGTTGATTGTGGATCAAAGCATTTATATGCACAACAATTTATCGCCGCCAACCCAAATTCAAACCATGCCAGACCATTCGCATGGAAACTCATTACGGTTTTCAAATTTACATTTTTTTTTTTTAGGCCTAACCCTCAACATGGGCATTACTAAAAGAAATGAATTGCGGTTGTATTGGTCCGCAGACCCGATTAATCATATGCCGTGTTCTCTGCTGCCATGGCCAGGCATAGATATGAGTTTAATGTGTTTTATGCATTTCAGCGACAATACACTCTGTCATCCTCGGGGTAACCCTGAATTTGACCGGCTCCACAAAATTCAGCCCCTCGCAAATCACCTTAACCTAAAATTTGCAGATGTCTATACTCCCCAGCAAAACATCTGCATTGAGGAGTCCCTTATTAATTTTTCTGGCTGCCTTGCATTCAAACAATTTCTCCCCTGCAAGCGTGCCAGATATGGGGTCAAGATGTAGAAGACCTGTGAGAGGACAACAGGCTATACTTATAAGTTTTCGGATTTACGAGGGAAAAGATAGTCACGTGGAGCCCCCCGGATGCCCAGGCTACATGGGGAGCAGTGGCAAGATAGTTTGGGACTTGGTGTCATCACTTCTCCATATGGGGTACCACTTATACCTGGACAATTTTTATTCAAGCGTGCCACTATTTAGACATTTATTCAATCTTGGAACTGGCACTTGTGGCAAAGTGTGACCTAATGTGTGCCCACCATTAGAAGTGGGTGGATGCAGGGTGGTATATTCTAATGGTGGGCATACCACACACTTTTTCTGGCAGAGATTTCTTCTCATTTTTTCATTCAGTCCACTGGCTGCATACAAAAAAAAAAAATAGCATATATAACCAACAAGGACCAGCGATGTGTACTGGTACATCACTGGATTTGAATGGTTATACCAGGATGATGCCTACAGCTGCAGGCATCATCCTAGTATCGTTTTTTTTCAGCCGGTGATCGGCTTTCATGTAAAAGCAATCCTAGTGGCTAATTAGCTGCAAGATTGCTTTTACAAGCAGTGGGAGATGATGTCCCCCCCCCCCGCTGCCTTCCACGGCCTTCTTTGGGGCAGTCCCGTGCCATCAGGGGAACCTGAGAATGCAGCCGGTGTTTCTGCCAGCTGACCATAGAGCTGATTGGAGACCACCAGAATGGTGCCAATCATCTCTATAGTCTAAGAATTCGGAAGCTACAAGCATTTCATCACTTCAGTTTCGCAGGATATAAACAGCGCCATTTGTAAATTGGGAAAGCATCTGATCACACCGATTTTGGTTTGATTAGATAATGTAAGGGCAGAGGAGATATCTAGAGTCTGATAGACCCCAGATTTCTCAAAAAAGAATATGACAATGCCCATTGAAGTTATAGGGGTTATTTGCATTCCCTGTTATAGCATTAAAAGTGATTAAAAAAAAAAAAAAAAAAGGTACAATGTAAAAATAATAAAAAAAAAAAGCAAAATAACTAAAAAAAAAAAAAAAAAAAAATGCCCCTCCCATGCGCGCACACCTGTGTGCACAAGCCTTGACCCTGTGCCGTTATGTAAACAGCGGTTGCACCATGCATGTGAGGTATTGCCGTGAACGTCAGATCAAGGGCAGTAATTCTAACACTAGACCTCCTCTGTAAATCTAAAATGGTGGCTTTTTTAAAGCGCTGCCTATGGATATTAAAAATGTTTGCAGTTTGTCGCCATTGCACGGGGCATGCGCAGTTTTAAAGCATGTCATGTTTGGTATCTATTTACTCGACATACCATTATCTTTTATATTTTACCAAACAATTGGCCAATATATTGTGTTTTTGTGCATTAAAAGTAAAAAAAGTGTATTTTTTTTTTTTTTTTAAATTGCTTTTGAAAAATCGCTGCGCGAGTACTATGTGCCATAAAAAATTGTAGTACCCACCATTTTATTCACTAGGGTGTCTGCTTTAAAAAAATATATATGTTTGGGGGTTTAAATTAATTTCCTAGCAAAAAATACTGATTTTTTTTTTTGTGAACAAAAAGGCTTGGTCTTCAGGTGGTTAGAAGAGTGAATGATGTGTGGCATAAACTTCTAATGCTGGGCATAAAACTCCCCCCACCCCCCCAAAAATTACCCCTTTTTGGAAAGTAGTCACCCCAAACTATTTGCTGAGAGGAATGTTGAATCAATAGAAGAATTTATTTTTTTACCACAAGTTTTTGGAAAATGACAAAAATAAATATTTTTTTTTTTTTTTACACAAAATTGTCACTTAAATGATTTACTGCTCACACATGCCATGGTTATATGTGGAATTACTCCCCAAAATACATTTTGCTACTTCTCCCGAGTATGGGGGTACCACATGTGAGAGACT